GGAGCCCGATGTGGGACTCGATCCCAGGACCCTGGGATCATGACCTGAGCCGAAGGCAGACGCTTAACGACTGAGCCACCCAGGCGCCCCTGATGCACAAAAGTTTTAAACTTCGAGATAGCCCATTTGTCTGTTTTTACTTTTGTTCCCTTTGTTTTTGGTGTCATTTCCAGGAAATCATTGCCAAGTCCAGTATCATGAAGATTTCCCGTATGTTTTCTTCTAGAAATTTTATAGTTTTAGGTTTTACATTCAGGCTTTGAATTCATTTTGAGTTAATTTTTGTATGTGGTATAAGGTAAAGCTCCAACTTCATTCTTTTGCATGTGAATATCCAGTTTTCCAGCACCTTTTGTTAAACTGACTGCCCTTTCTTTGTTGAATGATCTTGGTATCCTTGTTGAAAATCATTTAATTATATATGCAAAAGTTTATTTCTGGGCTCTTTGTTCTGTTGGTTTGGTTGTCTTTATGCTAAAACCACAGTTGTCTCCTTCCTTTTGATATTTTTTGCCCCTTTGCTGTTTTATGTTGATAATTGGAAGTTATTGATTGTTGTCAAGAATAAAGTGGGACTAGTTAACTGCCACATTATGAAGAATATGTTGGAATAACTTATTAAAAAAATAACTTTAGTGTATTCTTCTTTTGGCTCTGTGATTTTTGGAGTTATCAGAAAAATGATCTCCCTAAGGGTAAGGATGATGTTCTTAGTTCTTTTTACAGCATTTTGATTGCAGGGTGTGGAGTAATTGATAATCTCTGAAGATGCAAGCGTGTGGTAAATTTGCTGATTGCAGGAGAGACCATTATGTTCCACTTAAATATGCAATTAGAATAGGGCTGGTGGTAATGACTCAGAATGTATCAACCAACATTTTGTTTGTTTGTTTGACAGTGGCTTTGAAATCAAAAGACACAAACCAATGACTGATTTGCATATGGAAAATTGATCTTCAAATGTGTCTTTTCTTTAAAGGAAGGGGAAAAAGAGAAAATAAATTGAGAACTTCTTTGCCTTTTTCTAGGGCCTCAAATGGCTCAAACCTGGAAAAGCTAATGGGAAGGACATTTTTTTCTGAGAGTCTATTACTTTGGATTCTCTTTTACTGTGTACCAACTAGGTTTGCTTCTTGTATTATCTCTTATCAGATGCCTCTGTAGATTTACTTCTATCATTTCCTCTCAAATTCCTCTGGCTATACCCTGCCTTCTCTGCTGCTTACCCTTCCTCTTCCTCAATGTAAAAGCTGTTCATTCTGGTTGGGTCTCTCTCTTCTTCGAATTAGTTCTAATTTCTACTTGTTTGTTGTCTACTGTCAAGAAGGATTTTTCTATCAAGTCGAGTGGGCTTTTCTCTATTCTGGAATAATAATTCTTTTTCTATTGTTCTAAAACTTACAGTTTTTCAAAGTTAAGACCCAGTTTTGTATTTCATGAAGCTCTTCTAGATGGCCATAATTTTCAGTTGATTTCTCTAAACTTTGACTTTGTTTCATTTAAAATTCTCTCTCTGTTTTGTCTGTTTTTGATCTCTCTCCAATGAATTAATAAGTCCTAGAGTAATGACTTTATCTTGTACTTAAATATTACCAGGAATGTAACATAGACTAGACATACATTAGGCATTAACTTTTTGTCTCCACTCGAACTACTCCCTTCCCTTATTTTTCTCTTCTCCTCTTCTCCCCCACCACTTTTTTTTTAAGATTTATTTGAGAGAGAGAGTGCATGCACATGCATAAGTGGGGGGAGGGGGAGGAGAGAAAATCCTCAAGCCGACTTCCCTGAGCACAGAGCCCCAGCAGGGCTTGATCCCAGGATCGTGAGATCATGACCTGAGCCAAAACCAAGAGTTGGATGCTCAACCGACTGAGCCACCCAGGCGTCCATCCCCACTTCTTTTTTAACATTCCTTAGATTTATTTGGTTATAGTTAATTCTTCCAGTGGCATTCAACCTCAGAAGGTCTCCTGACTTAACATGTTAAATTTCTCCTTTGTTGGCATAAAATTTGCTTCATACTATATTTTGAAATAATGTTTTAAACATGTTTTAAAATTTGGATTTCATATCTGCTTGACAATTTACAAGATATCCTCTATATACACAAAAAAACTAGTAAGAAAAACTCACAAAAAATGTTTTATAATGTATATTATAAAGATCTTATCTCCTTAGTTTACAAAGATCTTGTACAAACCAATAAGAATAAAAATTAGTAATGTAATAAGGATGTGAAGGCATTTAAGAAAAAAATAGAAATCCAGCTTTCTCATAGTTAAAGAAATGCAAATCACAATGAGGTATTGCTTTTTCTTTTTTAATCAAATAAACAAAAATTAGGTTTTATGATATTTAGTGCTGATAGGAGGAGATGGAGAAATGGCCATTTCCATGCATTGTTAGTGGGTTAATCAGTTAGGACTTCATTTGTCTGCAAGTAATAGAAAACCTGTCTATTGCTAATAAGTTTAAACAAATAGGGATTTATTTTTGCACACAGTGTGAAGTTGGCATTGTGTTATTAGTAGCTGATGACGTCAGTGCTGGCATTTCTTAATTTTCCTTGCCCATCCCTTATTGGCTGCTTTAAGGACATAGGTTGTTTTAGATATGTTCACATTCAAGGTGATAAGAAAGTGGTGGAACCTACACTATTTGTGACTGTCCCTTTTTCTCAGAAAAGCAAAATCTTTCCCAGAGCTCTGTAGCAGTTCCATGATTCCCTACATGGGGCTAGATATATTGCTACTCTGACCAAAAACATTGTTTCACTAGGAAGATGGTAAGAGGGGATACTGGATAGGCAACTGAAAGTGTCTTGCTACGTGGCTAATGCAATTTTTCTGGAGATAAAATTTCAACATTTTCCCAGATTTAACATACATGTATTCTTTGATTAAGTGGTTCCATTGTTCAGAGATCAAGAATGAAATTAATATATTCCTTTAATAGCTAACTGGGGCTTTTAAAAGGTGGTTTTGATGATGCCAAATAAACATTTGGAAGATGTTCCTCTTTATTTGTGTTTCCACAGATCATTAACTGAAGACGAAATAAACAACTATGCAAAATTCTCACATGGATGAGTACAGAAATTCTAGTAATGGCAGCACAGGCAACAGTTCAGAGGTAGTGGTAGAACAGTCTGCTGATTTCAGTACTGAGATTATGAATGTTACGGAAATGGAACAGTCCCCTGATGGATCTCCTAATGTGAATGCAACTACAGAAGAAAATGAAATAACAAATGCTGTGGACCTTCCAGTGACAGAAACGGAAGCAAATTTCCCTCCAGAATATGAAAAATTCTGGAAAACTGTAGAAAACAATCCTCAGGATTTTACAGGCTGGGTATATTTGCTTCAGTATGTAGAACAGGAGGTTAGTAACTATTTAAATGGGACTAGAAGGGACAGATTAATCAAGTAATATCAGATGAGGTTTACTGTTTTGTAATTAAAATTGCCTCTTTTATAATTTTCAGATTAAGTTGAATAACATTAGATATGTACATTTTTTAGCTTTAAAAATAACTTTAATAACATTTGTATGTATTTGTCAATATTAGTACAAAGTCTAATATTTGTAGTAATTGGTGTGTGTGCATACGTGTGTGTATAATCACTGAAATAAAAAGTTACCTTGCTATTTGACAGAATTACTTCCTTTTGTTTCAAAGGATAAGACTGTAATATGCAGGAAAAAGATCTGTGTGTGTGTGGTTTTTAAATCTGCCAGTTTATTTTATTTGAGATAATACATTTGGAAGAAATAATAACTATTTTTGTGACACAAACTTCCAGGATTTTTAAACACCTTGTTTTATTTTCATCAGAATCACTTGATGGCTGCCAGGAAAGCATTTGACAAATTTTTCATACACTATCCGTATTGCTATGGTTACTGGAAAAAGTATGCAGACCTTGAAAAGCGGCATGACAACATTAAACAATCAGATGAGGTGCGTACATTACTGAATAAAATTATCTCCATTAGGTACTGTAAGCCAAATAATAACGAAACAAAAACTTTTTTTTTTTTTTTTTTGGCTGGCAGTACCTACGATTTATGGTCAAACAATTTTATAGGGTATTTTATTTGCATTTGTCACTCTTGTGGCATTTGTAGCTAATATTTTCTCTCTTTGTTGGCAGGTGCGTTAAACCTCTACAGTTTGTCAAGCTTTGCAGTGCAAGCCTCTGTATTACACTGCAGCTTAACAAGTAGGGCAGGGCTTTTCTCTCACTTACATTTATTTCTCATTTTCCAAACAATATAGTTGGTTTGCTAGTCACATTTGCTACGTCTTATTGCATTTTTGGTCAGACGCTGTCATTGATGCTCTAATGGGTCTGTGCCCTATGGTCTGTAACCCAAAGCCTGCCCACACAACCCGGTCAGAATGCAGGGACTGCTGCGCTTTGAAGATCAAGACTCTGCACGTGGGGATCAGAACATTGCCATGTTCTATCCAACCTCCACCCAAATGGTAATGGTAGATTATTTAAACAAAATTCCAGTAATTAGTATTTCTAAGGTTCACCGGATAACACAGTGTTGCCTCTCTGTTAAGAAATAATTAAATATTTGAAGTACAGTTTGTTGTTTTCTTCTTAGGTGTATCGTCGGGGGCTTCAGGCAATACCTCTTAGTGTTGACCTATGGATACATTATATAAACTTCTTAAAAGAAACATTGGACCCTGGTGAATCTGAGACAAATAGTACAATAAGAGGGTATGCTAAACATTGATATTTTCAAATGCCTTCGAAGTAGAAATAAGTATTCTGATGTTGATAATAGAACTACTCATGAATGCTAAACTGAATGTTTAACATACATTTCTTTTTCACTATTTAAAAAAATGAAACATGTAATAAACTTATGCATGATTATAAAAATTACAGATGATAATGCCCTCATTTCACACCCCATTACTTATGTTCCCAATCCCATTCCCTTTGTGGTTTATGAATTGTGTGTTCTTTCATATACATACGGATGTGCATACGTGTGTGTGTTGTACATACTTGATTCTTTTTTTTAATGTAACAATGTTTTGGAATCTCTCCCTATCGTAATTTTTCAGGCATTGCAGAAGTATTTTGTGGTATCAAAGTACTGTATTTTATTTGCCCAAATCCTTATTTATAGGAAATAATCAGTGGCGCAAGAAACATGTTTGTATTAGTCATTATTTATGTAGAGCATGCTAGAAATGGAACTTTTGTCAAAGAACACACAACTTTTATCAAATGTTCTTTCAAAAGTGGTATCAATTTTAAACTCCCACAGTATATGAGAGTAGTCATATTTTCCCATAGCTGTGCCACATTCTCTTTAACCTCCAGTGATAACTCAGGCAATTTTAGGTTGCCTATCTCTAGGCTGCTCATCCCAGTTTGCCGTCTTTTCGTGTACTTGTATAAGCCATTTGCTCATTGCCTGTTCATATCATTTGCTCATTTTACTTCTGGATTGTCCTTTTCTTATTGATTATAGGAAATTTTAAATGTGTTTTGGTTTTTATTTTTATCAAAGTGTGTGCATATAGTTTAAAAAGTCAGTGTTAAACTGCTTATAACAAAAAGCAGTCCCTCTTCAAGTATTTTAGCTGTTTCTTGTATTTTCCTATATGTTTATAATAGTAGCTCTTTCTCTCTCTTCATTACATTATGATTTTGTTATGGTAGATGAGATTTTTAGTTCACTTATACTCTGTCTTCCCATATCTTTTCCCACATAGATAGGTTTCAAAGCCTTTTATTTTTCCTGGAGTTAATTACCCCTTTTTATCCTTACCTCCTTTTTCCCACTTGCTTAGTTTTCTTTGAACATTTAAAATTTCCTACCCCTTCCAACAGCTGCTTTCGGTAGTTAGTACTCATAACTGACTTTCCACAGTGTACAAATGCTATGTACATTTTTTGGAAGCTAAAAAATGTATATATCTAGTGTTATTTTACTTACTCTGAAATTTGTGAAAGGGAATTGTACTCTGAAATTTGTAAATTCCATTTTTTACCCTTCCTCTTGGGGGATATCCTTGGAACCTTCTCTTTCTGTAGTCTGGATTGGTTGCTCTGCTCTGTTCTGTTTCTGCCATACAGCAGTTATTTTGAGATTTCCTCATCATGATTCTAGGAGATACCTTTACCTCTTTCCTGGGTTTCAAGCTCTAATTTTGAGAGTTTTTTAGATCCTGTTTTTTCTTGGCTGATGCCTACCTTTATAGAAGAGTGCGTCCTATAACTTCTTGATAAAGGATGCTTGGGATGAAAAAAAATGAAGAGTTTGTAAGTCTGAAACACCCAGTTGATCAGTGGGGTATAGAATTATGAGTTGGAAGTAATTTTTCCTTAGGGCTTTGAAGGCATCTCTTCACTCTTACAGCTTCTGGTGGTGTTATTGAGAAGTATGGTAACTCTCTGGATTCCCTTTGTATGATTTGTTTTTCCTCATGGATGCTTTTAAAATGTTCTCTTTATCTTTGCTATAAATGCAGTTTTATAATGATATGCTTTGATGTGGGTTTTCTTTTTCTAATTTATTGTGTTTACTTAGTGGGCCTTTTCAATCTAGGGTGCTCATGTCTTTCTCTTCTGAGAAATGTTATTATTGGGATACCTGGCTGGCTCAGTCAGTATAGCATTCAGCTCTTGATCTTGGGGTCATGAGTTGAGCTCCATGTGGGCATAGAGTTTGCTTAAAAAAATAATAAAATTAAAAAAAACATGTTATTGTGTATATTCTTAGGTTGATAATTCCCTTCCTATGGTTTTCTCTATTGTTTTTAATAGTTGGACATTGGATCTTATGTTTTAATCATTTAATTTTCTTATTTTTGTTTTTACTTTTTACATGTCAGATTTTGTTGGGCTTTTTGAGGTATTTCCTTGACCCTTGTATTGGATTTTTCCTATCTGCCATCATTTTTTTAATGTCCAAGAATCTTTTTTTTTTATTGTTCCTTTTCTTATCTCTTCCTATTCTTTGTTACATGGCTTAATATCTTTTTATTACTTTTTTTTTTTAAAGATTTTATTTATTTGACAGAGAGAGACACAGCGAGAGAGGGAACACAGGCTGGGGGAGTGGGAGAGGAGAAGCAGGCTCTCCACTGAGCAGGGAGCCCGATGCAGGGCTCGATCCCAGGACGCTGGGATCATGACCTGAGCCAAAGGCAGACGCTCAACGACTGAGCCACCCAGGCGCCCCTTTTTATTACTTTTTAAAAAGTACTAAGGACTGTTAAAGTTATCCTCTGCTCCCATCACGGTTTTCTCTGAAGTGTTTTTGTTTACTCTTCTTTTTTTTTTTTTTTTAAAGATTTATTTATTTGACCAAGATCACAAGTAGGCAGACAGGCAAGGCAGGCAGAGGGAGAGGGAGAAGAAGGCTCCCTGCTGAGCATGGAGCCCAATGCAAGGCTCTATCCCAGGAGTCTGGGATCATGACCTGAGCCAAAGGCAGACGTTTAACCGACTGAGCCACCCAGGCGCCCCATGTTTTTGTTCATTTGTTTTCATCTCTGACTTGTCTGATTTCTGGATTTCTGCTCATGTTAAAGATAGATTTTAGGGGCACCTGGGTGGCTCAGTCAGTTAAGCATCTGCCTTCAGCTCAGGTCATGATCCCAGGGTCCTGGGATTGAGCCCCATGGGGAGTCCTGCTCAGTGGGGAGCCTGCTTCTCTCCCGCCCACCCCCGCCCCATGCACACACTCTTTCTCAAATAAATAATATCTTTTAAAAAAAGATGAGTTTTTTTTTTAAAGATTTTATTTATTTATTTGACAGAGACACAGCAAGAGAGGGGACACAAGCAGGGGGAGTGGGAGAGGGAGAAGCAGGCTCCCAGCCGAGCAGGGAGCCCGATGTGGGGCTCAATCCCGGGACCCTGAGATCATGACCTGAGCCGAAGGCAGACGCTTAACGACTGAGCCACCCAGGCACCCCAAAAGATTAGATTTTAATAAACTGAATGTAAGCTCTGTGTGCTTTATATGCAGGTATTATTAGCTGGCTTGGTGGGCTTCACAGTAGGGCGATCAAATGGCCACTCAGGTTTTTGTTGGGGGAATCCCAGTGTTGGTATCCTTATATTTTACTATTGTGCCAGGCAGTTTCTCATTGAAGGATCATCTGATCTGCCTGGGGAATGTATACCTAGCTCCTGAAATCCCATAGCTGGGCAGGAAAGGAGGTTTAAGGTATCTTACCATTCTTTAAGGCGATCTTCTTGTAAACATCCTGTCTTTAGTTCATTACCTTCTTACCATATTTCCTCTCCCAACTCCCTCCACTTTTCTTAGTGTCTGGTGCGTTAATTTCTTGAATCATTTTGGGATTCTGCAGGGGTAGTAACATGCATTTTACTGTCTTGAAAACCTCAGACACAAACATACACTTGTGCGCACACGTGCATAAACACATACTCTTAATCCTTTATGCGTATATTAACATCCTCCAGTTTTAGCACATTTTTTTTTTTTTAAGATTTTTATTTATTTTACAGAGAGAGGCAGGGAGAGAGGGAACACAAGCAGGGCGAGCAGCAGAGGGAGAAGCAGGCTTCCCATGGAGCAGGGAGCCCGATGCGGGGCTCGATCCCAGGACCCTGGGATCACGACCCAAGCCGAAGGCAGATGTTTAACGACTGAGCCACCCAGGCACCCTCCTCAGTTATTTTGAAGTATAACATCAGGATTGGAAAATGCTATTTGAGGAATTTGTTTGCAGTGATACTTTGATTTATGTGAATTTATAGACTTCCACATGCTTTTATCTCATCTGATGTTCTCAACAGCCCTATGCAAATATTGTTAGTCCCTAATTTAGAAGTGAGGAAAGTAAGACTGATGTAGGATCACATGCTATTAAGGGAGAGAACTTAGACTCACTCCCCTTAGCCCTGTTCATTCTAATATTTACTGTACTATATCTCATGATGAAAGAAGGATTTGGATGGGTACCGGGGGGGCTTAGTCAGTTAAGCATCTGCCTTTGGCCCAGGTCATGATCCCAGGGTTCTGGGATCGAGCCCCATGTTGGGCTCCCTGCTCATCGGGGAGGTTGCTTCTCTCTCTTCTCCCTGTTTGTGCTCTCTATCTCTGTCTCTCTCAAATAAATAAAATCTTAAAAAAAAAAAAAAGGATTTGCAAATTCTAATTCCTGGTCTTTTGTACTTTATATTTCCTAATTTACTTATAATTAAGCTGTTGTCTTACTTTTTTTTTGTGATAAAAGCCACATAACATAAAATTTACCTTAACTGTTTTAAGTGTATAGTTCAGTAGTGTTAAGTATATTCACATGGTTGTAAACAGATTACCAGAACTTTTCATTTTACCAATCTGAAACTGTACTCATTAAACAGCTCCCCTTTTCTCCCTCACTGCATTCCCTGGTAACTGCATTCTATTTTGTTTCTATGAATTTGATTACTCTAGATACCTCATATAAGTAGAATCATACAGTGTCTTTTTTTGTGACTGGCTTACTTCACTTAGCATAATGTCCTCAAGGTTCATCCATATAGAATATGACAGGATTTCTTTCATTTTAAAGGCTAAAGAGGGGCGCCTGGATGGCTCAGTTGATTAAGCATCACACTCTTGATTTAGGCTCCGGTTGTGATCTCGGGGTTGAGAGATTGAGCCCTGTTTCGGCTTTGTGCTGGTTGTGGAGACTGCTTAAGAGTCTCTCTCTGCCCCTCTCCTCTTGCTCGCTTGGGCGCTCTCTCTCATTCTTTTTCCCTCTCTAAAAAAAACACCCTAAAGGCTG